AGGAAAAACAAATCTTAAAATACATTTGTATCACTTGGTAAATTAAAACATATTAACAATAGTCTGATAACTTTTCCCGCGCTGTAACCGGGTCCGAATTCTAGTTTTTATAAAAAAATTATTAATCACTAGTACCATACTAAATAATTAACCTAACCGAATTAACCCAACAATAAACTATCATGCACACCAGAAACATATTAAACCAACTCCAGTTAATCATAATAATAATTAACCAATCATTCAATAACCACAATTTAACTAAAACCAGATTCCAACAACAATTAAACATAATCATAAAACATAACAACCGAGACCCTAGATCATGCTCCTCCTCTTTGCCATGATTGTACATCACACTTTACCTGCATAACAAACACAATGAGATGCGCATGAGTATTTCGAAGCGATCCTCCCATCTACCCTACACACAAGCATATTAAACCAAACCAACATGCGTCATATTAACCAAATTAAATAAACCAGCCATAAAAAGACATGAACTACTCATTGTCCAGAAATTTCTGTCTAGAAAAACTGTCAAGAAATTGGTGTTGACCGACACAGACCCAAGGTTGGTATTGACCGACACCGTCTCCGCAGAAGCCCTGAAATCGCCTTTTAACTCTCTAGAGAGTGAATTCAACAGCTCCAAAGCTCAAGCCAAGAACGCAATGCTCAATCATGCAAACACATAAACCAATACACACAAACAAGCCACACACAACAGTATCCAGCCACCCACAACAATATCAATCAAAAACTCATTAGAGGGGTTTAATATGCTCTGATTAACCATGGTCATGCACTCACCTTTTGATTGGAATGAACAAGGACGAAAAAAGGAGAACAGAGGAAGGACATGATTCTCCTAACACCCACAGCCATGAAACTCCCCTTTTCTTTGTTCGATCCCTCAATAACTAGCCACAGAAACCCCATAAACCTCTTGTAAACACCGCATGGAACAACTCTCTCTCCCTAGCTTTTCTCTCAACTTTAAGGAAGCAACAAAACTTTGAAAATGAAGAGAAAACGGCTGCCTCGACATTTTAAGTCGACCTATATTTCCCCGAAAACCAAAAATTAAGTTAACCAACGATTTAAAATGAAATATTCTAACCCAATATTTGTTGTTGTCGGTCGACACTACGAAATTTTGAGCACGGGTGTTATAATTCTCACTCACTAACATTCAAATCCCTCAACATTGTCTATCCCCAACACGCATTTCACTAGTGTCGCAATAGTTCGCCTAACAACCCGACCATCGGGTCAGCAAAACCAATCTTGAGATTGAACACCATAAACGTCATACAACCATCACTATGGTATGCACTATTTATAATCCTCTGGCCAACACAACCATGGCCAACCAGGCAACACAACCCTGGCCCACCTGCCAACACAATCTTGACCCCACTATCCAGCACAATCTTGGCCCACTAGCCAACACAACTCTGGCCCACCGATCGAAACAACCCTAACCCCACCGTTCAGCACAACCCGAATCCAAGATGAAACCACCATCAACGTCTGAGGTCTCCATCTAGTCTCTATGCTTATACCGACGCTCTAGACATTATTTGCTCTTAACTGATCCACTCTCATGTCCGAACCATCGAGTCATCCCGATACTAGGGAAATCACCATCCTATCAAGAGAACCACCATCCCCTCCAGGAGAACAACCATCTCATTTGCCACTCTCAGAACCACAACCCTTCAAGCCATCGGTATCTAAAAGAACTACTATGAGACGCTACGTTGCGAAGATGTTTAAATAAATTGATTTGGTCACCTTAATTACCAAAGTGCAATTATCTTTTCAATCGATGGTCATAAGAGAACTCCACAGTTAAGCATGCTTATGCTGGAGTAATCAACGGATAGGTGGCGTTCCGGGAAGTGGTTATTGGAACTGTCTGAGTGAGGCTAATACACAGGGAAAGGTCATGTGGTGATTTGTAGGGTCGGAAAACAAGACTTTACGCTTCCCGGATGTAGCAAACTGGCCTTCGGATATCGATGGGCTCATGGGCCTAGTTAGAAGACGTGAGGCCCATAAAGAGAGGTGGGCTCATGGGAGGGTGGTGAACATGGGGCCCATAGGAGTGATAGCGGCCGAGGCGTTACAACCACCATGTCTCCTCATGAGTTTCTTAGGACCCATCATCCTAAGAGCAAAGAAGCTATAACGTCTCTAAGCATCACCTGAACATAAATACCTCACATAGTCCAAGCACTATCTTGCAATGTCATACCTACCCATCCATATTCCCATCGGATTATCACCTCTACCATGACCGTTTTTAGGTCGATTCTCAAACAACCTCGCCACTCAGGGTGTTTACACCATAGTCTCCAACTTAACTTCTCGAAAATCCATTTCCAACAAAAAACACCACCAAAGCTTTGGACCACGACCACCACGATAGCAACCTCTAGCTTCATACACTACTACAGGAAGAATCTAGGAACACAAACAACTAGAGAAAACACAACACATAAAAACTTACCATGGAATCTCATTAAAGGCTCGAAGAGGATGATACTATGTCTACATGCTCAATAATTGACTAACTAATCATAATCAATTCTAGCATGCTACCACCAAGCATCACACAACGATTCACAACATGGACCACACAACAAGAAAACAATTCACCAATTAAATACCTAAACCATTCTAAACATCAATCTTCAAACCATGAAATTCACAAACCATCCATTTAGCCTAGCTTTAGAATCATAAGAGCTCTGATACCAAATAGAAAAGACCGACCCGATTTGTTTTTATTTCATTCATCAGTAGTCTCATACTTACTAATAAACCTAACCAAATTAACCCAATAATAAACCATCATGCACAGCGGAAACATATTAAACCAACTCCAATTAATCATAATATTAGTTAACCAATCATTACATAACCACATTTTACACCAGCAACCTAGCATGCCTCTAAGTCAGGTTCCAACAACAATTAAACATAATCATAAACATAACAATCAAGACCCTAGATCATCCTCCTCCATATTTCAAAAAAAAAAAAAAGATCATCCTCCTCCTCAATGCCATGATTCCATGTCACACTTTACTGCATTGGAAACACAATGAGATGCATCAGTATTATGACAAATACTCATCGAAGTGATCCTCCTATCTACTAGGCTATACACACAAACATATTAAACCAAATCAACATGCATCAGATTATCCAAATCAAACAAACCAGCCAAAAAAAAAAAAGAATTACTCGGTGTCGAAAAATTGCCGTCTAGAAAAATTGTCCAGAAATTGGTCTCGACTGAAACCGCCTCCCTAGAAGCCCTGAATTCGCCTCTCAACTCTCCAAAGAGCAAATATAATTCACCATCTCCAAAGCTCCAGTCAAGAACCCTAACACTCAATTATGCAAACAAATAAACAAAAAAAAGCCACACATAACCATTTCTAACCACCCAAATTAATCAATAACACATCAGAAGGGTTTAACAGTCCCCGATCAACCATGAACACACATTCACCTTTTGATTGGAATGAACAGGCATGAAAACAAGGAAAACAGAGGAAGGAAAATACTCTCCTAACACCCACAACCACAAGACCCCCCTTCTCTAGAAAACACCTCAGGGAACAACTCTCCCTCTCTGCCTTTTCTCACACTTTTCAGGAAGCGACTTTTTAAGTCGACCTAGGTTTTCCCCAAAACCAAAAATTAAGATAAACAGTCTAAACCAAAATCTGTTGGTGTCAATCGACACTACAAAACTTTGAACACGGGTGTTAAAAGAGGCAAAATGATGTTTTTTTGTAAATTAAAACTCAGATCCACGAAAACCAATTCAAAAAAATGAGAAACCTGATTTCTATATGTAATGGTAGTTTCTGATTCTGATATGGTTATTATAAATTTTGAGAAATCTGGAATCGTTTAATTTCTTCTTTACACCAATTTCAAGGATAAAGAAGAAACACAGCCTCCTCCTTCGTGCTTCTACTCTGAGTAAAGATCTTTTATTTCTTTTATTAATCTCCTGAATAAATTCAGAGAGAGAGAGAGAGAGAGAGAGATTAAAGAGTTTGAAATAGATGAGAAAATATATTGAATTTTGTTTGTTCATATTTTTAGACTGAAATAAAATGAAATCTAAAATGACACCAAATCACTTAGACATTGAATAACAATATTTTAAGGTAATTTATAATACATCAAACAAATGCATAATTTAATAACAAGTGATTCTAATGCAATGTATAAAAACCCCTAACTGAATAACAATCGATTCCAAAATCTTTCCAATTTTTTTAAAGTACACAGTTCAATAGCACCCGCTAAACGTGAGATTGAGAGAATAATGAAAGAGATTTGGAGAAAGATATCAAAGAGACATTGCTAAAGAGTTGACATTATACAAGCATGCAAAGGTATAGAAGATTACTAAGACTTAACTTCGATGTTCATAATTTAATTTAATAGTATTATTTACTTATCATCATGTCTCCTTTGACTTAGCTCGTTTTTTTTCTCTGTAAAACAAATATGGTAAGTATTTATGAACTACATCAACACTATAGAGAATGTTCATAAACTGATAATAGAGAACACCAAGAGACTAAGAAGCGAAGATCTAGACAAGTAGAAATAATAGAGGTTTAGGGTAAAGAAATTGAAATAATACCTAATGATAATCTTCTGCAGATGATGAAACATAGTAAAGAAAAAAGGAGAACATAATAAATTATGTTAGTTTCAACTACGATTTCTCATTTGATTTCCGTTCTAGTCTATTTATTCTCATAACTTGTCAAAGATCACAACGTATATGCTTATCAGGATATGCAAGAACAGAGGAAAAGAAAGATTGAGAAGGAGAGAAATGCTCTATTGACATTTGATAACGTGTTGTTTAGATGAGTTATTGACATTTTCTTATTTTTACTTTCTTTAATAGATCAATTATATTACAAAAGACTGATCTATGAAAGAAAGAAATATTAAGAAACTATTGATAATTCTACTAAACAAAACCATATCAAGTCTTAAGCGAGCATCTCTTCTTTCCCTCTCAATGTTTTTGTTTCTTTGTTCCTATACATCCTATTGAGCATATTTGTTGTGATTCTCTGACATAGCTTGGGAATAATTAGATTGAAACCATAAAATCAAATGAGAAGTCACAACTGAAACTAAAATAGTGTACTCTCTTCTTTTTTTTTTGTTCTATTCTTTGAAATCGTTATCTGCAAAGAAATATAATTATGTGTTGTTTCAGTTTCTTTACCTGAAACCTCTGTTGTTGCAGATTTTCTTGAGCTTCTCTCCTCTGCCTCTACATGAGCTTCTCTCCTATGCCTCTACATGAGAAATATTCCCAATTTTGAATGAATTCCTCTTTCTCCAAATGGACCTTGTTTTGGGAACCAAGCAATACAACTAGTCATGCTAGATTTAGAGTTGCACACTCCCTAGAAAAGGTTCAAGAAAACAGGAATGACACTTTAAAATACTGAAAGCATTGCAAAACCCTTCTATATAAACTAAATTAATGAGTTGGAAACATACCCACCAAGTTTCATCCACAATGGTGTCCGGTTGCTTCTCCATGTTTATACAATTTCCTAAGATTTTTCCTTGATTTCATTGGTGGCTTCTTCTCCCTTTGCTCTTCCATGAGATCTCTCTTTTCTTCTCTAGGGTTAGGAGGCACAAGATTAAAAGAAAGAAAACCCTAAGATCCTTATTTATACCTCTTTATTAATCTAGGTTTAGAGTTTGGGTGTAATGGGCTTGGTGGACTTATTGGGCCTTTCTAGGTTTCAGAGCTTTTTTTAAGTTTGAGTTTCTTTTCCCCCAAACAATCAAGCTGGTCTTGGTGGTTTACAATTACAACTAGATAACTATTATTTATCTGATATTTAACATAGTAAGTTGAACGTAATAGACATGCTTAGAAAAAGTTCCACTTATTATCGGAAATAGGTTTCTTAATCTAAAAATTAATTGAAAGTTTTGCTTAGATATTTAAGTTATATTTAATGCTCAAACCCTAATTTTGTATTAATTTTATTATGTATGAAACTTAGGTAATTAAACTTAGGTAATGAACCATTAAACTTCGAGCTTCAACCAGCGATATATAATTAAAACTAAAGTTTAACTGAATCTTGTGTAACAATTTAAGGTATTGCTTAGTCTTTGAGAAATCACATATGGGTTAAAATTCTTCTAGTTACTCTTTAGATGATCAACTTTCATGTTACTTTATAGTCCCTTAAAGGATGGTGTTGTTTGTTATGTACATTCTTGGGTACATAGCAAATAACACAATTCTTTGAGGTCATATATATTATCTTAAGCATCAGTCGCATATTAGTTATGTGGGGATTAGTTTGAATCCAAGTTCCTCTTTCTTCAGTCATATGTTTTGGTTAAGAGTGAAACAAGTGGAGACTCTTTAAGAAGCAGAAGGTTTAATTTGAAGATAAGAAGGAGAATAAGCTAGACGAGTAAGAGGGTTCAAAACAATACCAATGAGTACATCCCATGTGCCCTCTATATGACAGAAGGATATGCTATGAGGAGACAAAGTATGCAAACCTACAATTTGCAGCCTCCTAAGAGCATTGATGCCTAAAGGAACAAAGATAACAAGACAAAACTGGAGTCAAAGGTTTGGTAAATGTCATTGTCCTAAGTGGTCCTTGTTTTTGTATAAAACAGTCTTGTGTTCATTGTAAGGTAATGCGAGAGAGTAATGGTTGTGACATGAAATAGAGTGGGGAAACACAGTGAGAGAAGTTAAGCTTTGTATTTGCCAAGTGTGGGTGAGGGAGAAGCAGTAAACTCTCAAGTGATTAATGGATTCCGGGACACCGTTCCCGGCGAGACGTAGGCTACACCTGTTTGGTGCACCTGAACTCGTTAAACTGTGTTTGTATCCCTTTCTTTGTTTCCTGTTCTTCATCATTCTCACTCTATCTCTGCATGCATCATCATCATCTTCTTGTTATCACAATCTCAGTCTTGCATTCTTCTTAAAAAGAGTTCCAAAGTAAAGCTTGAAAGCTTAAAGGATAAGAAAGCTTCAGCCTTGAGAGGTTACAATAACATTTACAAGTTATAATAATATGCAGTGCATTTTGGACGTTTAACAGTGAAACGGCTATAATTTTTAATAAGAAAATAAAAATGGGTTTTTCACTCATATAAATGAAATATTTGATGAAAGCTTTCAGTTATTTTTAAATTGATGTCCATGGACAATAGTAAGGAGCTTGGTTACCTCGATTATGTTTCACATGTTTGGACATTGGACTTTGGTGGGACAGATAAGTAAACAAACTTCTAATCACTATAATTATTAGATCGATAAAACGTATTTTTAATACATATTTGAACTGTTTTGATTGGTGCCATTGTGAATCCCAAAATGTCACTCATTTTTGTAATAGTGTTTGTACTTAGTATTCGTTGCTTTATTATGTTTCGCCCACAAGGTGGTGGGCTAGTGGTAGGACCAACATGGGTGAAAGGGTGAAACTCCTACATCCCAAATTTGATTACCCTCTATTGTTGTTATAAACATCTTATTCTGAGGTCTGTCAGTTAGGCCAATTGGGCCAATTGGTTTAGTTAATAGTCAGAGATGCATGCGGTATGACTACCTCAAGACATTAGTCGGAAGGCATTCCAAATTTGGTGTTAGGTAGTGTGCTAATTCAATACCTAGGTGTTGACAACGAGTCCACATGTTAGCACTTCCGAGCGTTTCTCCCAAGGCTGAACGGATCAGCCAATAAGGTATATATATATATAAATAACTATTATGTTCAGCTTAACAAATTATATTAAATAAAAAATAGTTTATTTAGTTGTAGTTGTAAATTTAATTAATGATTTTGATTAGATTATGGGATCTAGAGAACCTCAGAAAATCTGGGGAAATATTATGCACGATATTTTTTTTTTGATAAAAAAATATGCGAGTTGTTTTCAGTTATTGTTATTTTTTTTTGGGTTTTCTTGAAAAAAAACATCATATTAAATGTAGAATTTGGCATGTTGAGTTGGACTTTTGTGGTGATTAAATTAAATATTTATAACTTCCACTATGAAACAGTTGTGGTTTCTAGACGTGTGGATAATTAATGTTGTTGTTCTTAATGCATCTTACAATGGTTTTCTGGTCTTTCATGTCTTACTGCTGCAAAATTTAATATGTTGATTGACTGTATAAGCATGTAAGTCAAACAAAGATGTCAGTACACTGGGCAAGAGAAGAAGGTTTTCCCTTCCATCAACCATTTTCGAGATAATGATTTTTTTTTTTCGAGTTAAGAGAGGAAATTTGTGCGTTTGTTGTCTACAGGGCTTGACACAAAGCCGTTGCAGCTACTCGATTTGTTGGAAAGGATCCATTAGAACGACTTGCCAAAACGTGACGACTTTATTGTTCTCTTCAATCCATTAGAACGACAGAGGTACACACTGAATTTTTGCAATCATCCATTTGCTTATCATCGAATCTTAGACGTTCTTAGGCGGTGGGATGATACAAAGGCTCTTAAGAGGGCGTAGTTATCACTGCATCTGCCATATCATTAAACAGTAGAAGGATACACAACTCTTGCACTTTTTAAACCATAGTTTGGGAAGTACACACGGATCATCATACCTAGAACATTCAATCTCTTCTATGAGGAGTACATACTTGGAAATATGTTATCACCGTCAAGAGTAGTATTAGTCATCTCGTCTCAATTTTAAGAGACATTTTTATACACCATCGGTTTCTAGTTGCAACACGTATACATTAGAAAGAGCTCTTCATTCTTCTTTGTCAAGCATATTCTTTTGAAAAAAATAATTTATCATCATATTATTATATGGGCACCTGTGTTCACTCCATTCCTATGACTCACTAGACCAAAGTCAACTAAAAGACCTCCTGAGATTAAGCAGTAAAAGTGACTATTGGCATGTAAGAGGTTGTTATTCATATCCTGGTCACATCGAAGAGAGCAAAAAAATTCTTGTATTATCAACTTAGTTGCTACGGGATAGAAATGCTTAATGATATTATCGCACAAATACACGGTATAGGTTCCGAAGAGAAAACAATGGCCTAACAGGACAGCTCACGCTTTGGCAAATTTATAAGCTCGAGTGTAAAAGATAAAGAAGAACTTGTCCAATAATCTGGATTTTCGCATAAGCAACATTCAGTATTTCGGGTAACAAACATTGGATCCAACATTTCTTTTTCCCCAAACTCGTCCATCATGATCTTGACTCAACCATCAGCCAAACAAATTCACAAACACCACGAAAACATACAACGGAGAAGGAATATTAATAGTACATTAACAAAAAAAAATAAGACAATGATCTAATCGCTTAGATAAGCCATGGTTCTCCACTCACTTCCAAAAAAAGAAGATTCTGATAAAGAACAACCAAAACTGGTAATATGATCCTCGTTGAGAAGATCCTGTCCCTTGAAATCTCTTTGTATGAATTGTGAACGAACGATGAAAGATCCGTAAATAACAAGACAAATGAAGATGATATGGTGATAGAAAGGCTCTGTGGGAGAATGATGATGATGTAAGGAAATGAGAATGCCTTGTGGATCGATTGTAACCTTTGACATAACGAACTTGCTTAGGCTTGGATATGACACACCAAACAATCACAAGATGAAGAGATATTACACACCCTTCAGATCAAACAATTTGGAAAGAGATTTTGATAATAATTTTTTTGATGAGTTCTCATAAGAGATTACAAAGGATATATAAAGAAGCAAAGAAACTTGTTTCGAAACAAACACAGCAAGTTTCAAAACAACATTAAAAACACTTGAAAAAGACCTGAAATTTAAAACTAGAGTTTGAATGATAGAAATGACTCTTTCCTTTTTATAAAAATGTGGCTCCTTGGCAAAGAAACAACAATCAGCTTGGGAAAGAGTGTGTGGGCTTGCCTCATTAAAAAATTCACTTACAAAACCTATTGGGACAAAACCAAAAGGAGGGAAAAAGAGTGCAAGTCACACACCTCTATTGTTGTTACTTAATCGACTTGAATCACAACCAAAATAGTTGTATAAGTTTCTTGATTAAGATTCCCTTCAATCTTAGTACCCTTTGACCATATATTGACTAATTTAATCTCATATTTTGCCCCCTACTATTAATTTAATTTAAGTAAAAAGGAAAAAGAAGAAACGTGGACCTACTCAAAAATCTTCGTCTTCTCTCTCCTTCAACCACGATCTGGATCTATCCTCCATATGTCCATCAACGAGCTCCTCCTCACACACACTTACTATCATCTTATTCATCAACACGAGAACCCAACAACTTAGGCAATACACTTATTCATACCCATTGTTAAATTCATAACTCGTTGGCATGAAGTGGAGTTGTTGTGGATTGTATTTTTTCATCCTTATTGGACTATTAAAAATGCAATTAGAGATATTGTAAATTTGGATTTGATCAGATTTTTCTTATCCTCATTGTCAATTAAGGATATGAGCCGAATTGGGTCGACTATTGTTCATAATGTATGCATTGTAACAGTTCAATCGAATTGAATCGTAGGAATGTAATCCGAAAATTAGTAGTGGTTGTAGTACAATTGGTAGAACTTGGTATAACTATTCGGGTACCACTGGTATAACTATAATGGTAAAATTAGTAGTACAAATGGTACTCATGGGGCTAGTGAGAGGACGTGAGGCACATTAAGAGAGGTGGGCCCATGGGATGGTAGTGAACATCGGGTCCATAGGAGAGATAGCGGTCGAGGCGTTACAACCACCATATCTCCTCATGAGTTTCTTAGGGCCCATCATCCTAAGAGCAAAGAAGCTACAACGTCTCTAAGCATCTCCTGACCAAAAATACCTCACATAGTCCAAGCACTATCTCGCAATGTCATTCCTACCCATCCATATTCCCATCGAAATATCACCTCCACCATGACCATTTTTCAGGTCGACTCTCAAACATCCTCGCCACTCAGGGTGTTTACACAATAGTCTCCAACTTAACTTCTCGAAAATCCATTTCCAACAAAAAACACCACTGAAGACCCGCGCTTTGGACAACGCCCACCACAACTACTGCGAGCACCATGATAACAACCTCTAGCCTCATACACTACGACATGAAGAAACTAGGAAAACAAACGACTAGAGAAAACACAACACATCAAAGCTTACCGTGGAATCTCATTAAAGGCTTGAGGAGGATGATAATAGATCTACATGCTCAATCAATTGACTAACTAATCATAATCAATTCTAGCATGCTACCACCAAGCATCACACAACGGTTCACAACATGCACCACACAACAGGAAAATAATTCACCAATTAAATACCTAAACCATTCTAAACATCAATCTTCAAACCATGAAATTCACCAATTAAATACCTAAACCTTTCTAAACATCAATCTTCAAACCATGAAATTCATAAACCGTCCATTTAACCTATCCCTAGAATCGTAAGGGCTCTGATACCAAATTGAAAAGACCGACCTGATTTTTTTTATTTCATTCATCAGTAGTCTCATACCTACTAACAAACCTAACTGAATTAACTCAACAATAAACCATCATGCACAGCGGAAAATATATTAAACCAACTCCAATTAATCATCATATTAATTAACCAATCAACACATAACCACAATTTACACTAGTAACCTAGCATGCCTTTAAGTCAGGTTCAAACAATAATTAAACATAATCATAAACATAACAGTCGAGACCCTAGATCATCCTCCTCCAGATGTCAAAAAGAAGAAGATCATCCTCCTCCTCATTGCCATGATTCCATGTCATACTTTACCTGCACCAGAAACACAATGAGATGCATCAGTATTATCACAAATACTCAGCGAAGCGATACTCCTATCTACTAGGCTATACAAACAAATACATTAAACCAAATCAACATGCATCAAATTATCGAAATCAAACAAACCAGCCATAAGAAGACATGAATTACTCGCTGTCCAAAAATTGTTGTCCAGCAAAACTAACCAGAAATTGGTGTCGATAGACACCAGAAATTGGTCTCGACTGAAACCGCCTCCTCAGAAGCCCTAAAATCGCCCCTCAACTCTCCAGAGAGCAAGAACCCTAACACTCAATTATGCAAACAAATAAAAAAAAAGCCACACAAAACAATTTCTAACCGCCCAAATCAATCAATAACACATCAGAAGGGTTTAACATGCCCCGATTAACCATGAAATTACACTCACTTTTTGATTGGAATGAACAGGCACGCAAACAAGGAAAAAAGAGGAAAAAAAGACTCTCCTAACACCCACAACCACAAAACTCCCCTTCTCTTTGGTCGATTCATCCCTCAATAACAATCCATAGAAACCCCATAAACCTCTAGAAAACACTTCAGGGAACAACTCTCCCTCTCTGCCTTTTCTCTCAACTTTCAGGAAGCTACTTTTTAAGTTGACCTAGGTTTTCCACAAAACCAAAAATTAAATTAAACCGTCTAACCCAAAATTTGTTGGTGTATCGACACCCACCCTTGGTGTCGATCGACACTACAAAATTCTGAACACGGGTGTTACAAGAGGCAAAATGATGTTTATTCTTAAATCAAAACTCAGATCCACGAAAACCAATTTGAAAAGTGAGCAACATGATTTCTATATGTAATGGTAGTTTTGATTATAATATGGTTTTTATAAACTTTCAGAAATCTGGGAATCGTTTAATTTCTTCTTTACACCAATTTCAAGGCTAAAGAAGAAACACAGCCTCCTCCTTAATGCTTCTACTCTGAGTAAAGATCATTTATTTCCTCTTTTAATCTCCTGAATGAATTCTGAAAGAGAGAGTGAAGGAGAGAGAGAGAGAGAGAGAGAGAGAGAGAGAGAGAGAGAGAGAGAGAGAGAGAGAGAGAGAG